TACTTAACAATGGCTTAAATTACGCCTTTGCCACACAAATCGTTCCGCAATTAATTTTGCATAAATTATAGTATTCTGTCATTCAATGCTCAACCAGAAAGTCTCAATGAATGATAATGATGACACACATCGGTCCAGTTACACTCAATTTTCTATTCGTTTTAATTATTCTTTATCGTATCTTCTTATTGTTCTTTTAATCATGCCTTTTGCGACGCACAAAATACATCTTGCGAAATAATAATAATCACATGAGATTTAAAAGAAAACTATTTTGCATGATGTTATCTGTCAATCGCTTAAAACAACATTTAAATTGTTTTAAATGCGTTACAAAAGCGATGAGCGCACAAGAAAATGAAATTGAAAATTGGATGTGCCAATCCTGTGATGTTGACAGTTGGTCAGAGGCCAATTCTGTGTAAAATGATAAACACAACATAATAGCAAAAACAATGCAAGTTATCAATAAAACTGCGTCATAAGTAAGTGTATAATATGGGCCAAATGATTAGCACACTGTGGTTTTGTCAAGCATAGCATATCGGTATTTTTATAGTTTCGTGCTATGATGTGTTGACGTCATACGCAAATGCGATCGATGCGTTCCGTCGAAGACGGTTTTGCGTGACTGTGTGTTGTACCGCATGCGTACCATTGCAATCTCTTCAACACAATTTTTGAACCGTATGAAATGTGTAACAGAGTTTCTATCAATTGCAAAGCGTAAATTATGTAAGCATCAAAGCGTCAACGAACGAAACAAATAAATTAAGTGCAATGCCAATTGTATTTGAATGTAATATGCAAACAAACATTCATTTATTTATAGAATCATTTGATTCGACAAAAGCATGGGGTTAGTTTATTTACTATTGGTTTTTATTGGATTAAACCCATTAAATATGCGATGCAATGAATTACATATCTGAACGAAGACACATACTTGAAAATGTTACAAAGTGTGTAAATGACTTGAACACATCAAAATCGAATTACTGAATCGAATTTATTTACTTAATCACAATATGATAATAATAATTGACGATCCAAAAATAAACGGATTTATACGTCACCTAAATATAGTTAACGATAGCAAAAGCGCCACTCCAAATATTTGCCGCGACAAATCTATGCTATTTTTACTGCTGATTTCTTAGAATGTAATACAAAAAATCGTTCTATAAATAGAAGGCAATCAAAGTGAATTTATTTTCGTGCTAATTGCTATAACATTCCAAGAAATCAAATCGTTTTTAGTGCATTGATCGCACATTCGTAAATTCTAACATCGTTCTAATAAAAAAAAATTGTATGCAGTTGAATGAACGGGCCACGGAAAACTAGACGAATTTCATGTGAATTTAATAATAGCAAAGCGAAAATAAAATGCATAAAAATTTTGCTTGAAATTTCACCTTGAATCACAATGGACACATTTCGTCGGCGTTGATTTTTTTAAAGACCGGTTCCGTTATGTGTGAAATTGATTTCGGTCATGCACACCTTCATAGCTGAATTCTAGCTTACAAATGCCGCACAGAAAGAATGAAAATAAAAGAAACGTCGAAATAAAGAATCAAATGTAAAAGATAAAATCGGCGATCAGAAAGAAATCAGGTCACAAGTCTGTGAAATGAATATATGTGTGTATGTGTATATGTGAGATCCATTCATTCCATTTCATTTATCATAACGCGAATTAATTATTGTTTATAGACACAGTGAAATAATAAAAAAACTATACACATCAAGAACTGAATAAAACAATAAATATTGTTTTTCTCTCTCTTTTCAAAATGTTCTCTATACACAAACACATAGTTGTCGTCATTTCTGTACAACGACAATATCTGTGAGAATAGAAAAAAGAACGATTCGAAAGAATGAAACGACATTAACGCATAATGAAGCCGGCGATACCATTAATCTTTTCGAAAAAAAACGCGGCAGCCGCCAGATCGATCGTAGAGATTTTGAATATCTTTCTTGTTGCTTTGCCTTCTATGCATACTACTTACCCACTTTTTCGACAGTTTTCTAATTGGTTGTAGATTGTCTGCCGTTTCATTCTCAATGCTGTTTTTCTTATTCACCGTGATTCATTTGCTCGTATTTTGTCGAATACTTCGTCTTCAATATTTTGTTTTTGCACTTTAGAATGTCGTCTTTTTTTTGCCATGAACCTAGTTTTATTTCTCGTTCTCTTCCCTCACTAACCGGCATTTTTGACTTGCTAATTCGATTGTTTTGGACCAATGAAATGAACAGATTTATGAAACATCTTCCCAAAATGTCAACGAGATGCGATCTTTCTAATTGCTTTCGATGGGCAAAGTGGAATAATTGGACCTTGACAATGTGAGACAAATGAATGTTGGGCACAGTTCATACAAGCTTGGAAATACCGCTGATATAAATTAAATTACATGTACTTGAATTTCAATTTTTTTTTTCGGTATCATCTTCCAAGTATTCGTATCTCAATTACAATTGCTGATCAGTTTGTTTTTCTGAAGACTATTTGAATATGTTGCAATTTCAATCAATTCACAAGTATGCACACACTCGTTCAGACTTGCAAATGTAGACAAAAATTAAAGTGAAAAAAAAAAACAACACAGAAAAGCATACAAACTGATTAAAGTAATTTCAGATGCGTTTTTCAAGGGAAAAACATCAGTTTCTAGGAGGCGGAACGAGAAATTGAAAACAATTTGATATACCAGTTGAAAGTCCTTAAAGGCGACCATGTACAAGCCAAGCTTATCATGTTTCAAAAATCTTGCAAATGGCCGCGATTTAACTTTTGCTTTTATTCAATTCGCGTTGAAAAAGTGTTTAATGATCTTTTCGGCATTAAAGTTAGATTTATTTAGATGAACGAACAGATTTTTGATGGCTTAATTGCTATAAATACCACATGATGCGTAAAAACATTGATAACGTAAATTGAGAAGGAAAAAAGTGTCGCTTAAATTATTTGCATTAGTGCAAGTTGTTTTAATTGCAGTAAATCGTCGCCATGCCTTATCATGTTATTTTCACTTCGATTCTTTTAGTTCGGATTTGCAATGAACGGGAAATTGTAGGACTGATAAGCGACACCATCATGACGAAAAGATTAAACATTCTCGTTACGAGTCGTTAGAAAACGTTTTTCAACACTTTCCTCTTTGATACGAGGTCATATGGTGGTCTCCAGACATCACGTCTGATGCTCAATTAAATGTTGACGATTGTTCACATAGTGTTTTTTTTAGAGAGATCAGGGTAAAATTAAATTGAAAAACGCTTGAACATCATCTGGCAATAAGATTGACCACGTTGAAAGTTCAAATGCATACGGACATGTTGCATCTGGACGTAGATCATATAATGTAAATATTTTTTTTATTAGTGTCTATATTCTCTGCTGCAATTAATAATTCGTTTCAAGTCAATGTTTGATCGACTTTCTTTCGTTTATGAATATGTGTATAACGTGGTCAAGTGTGCTTGTGTATTTTATTCGTACGAACGGTTCGCCAGATGTGATAAATCTGCCGATATAAATCACAGCTGAGCCTAGTAGCATTGAGCGTGCGCATCACACATTTGACCTTGGATCACATGCACATGTGTCATAAGCGCGCGTGTGTGTGTGTGTGCATTGCTTGGAAAGTGCTTTTATTTATGGCTGCACTTGCACCATGCACATATTTCATTTGAAAGCAAAATAGATTTTGATTTGTAGACCGTAAACTATTATGACCGTTACATCGTTTACGTTCATACAATGTGTTTGTTCACTTCGATATGTGCGTATGTTTGTATATGTGTGTGTGTGATTCATGTTGATTGAATTGACTTTGTACCTATGGAAATGAAAACATGTATGCACTTGGATGTGTCACACACACTTGATATGATTGCTAACGACCTTTCTTCATTTTATGACCGTTAAACACATTTTGCATTTAAAGATGTTCACTTTCGATTGTTGATTGGAAACCGTTGTATAATATTTTGCATAATCGCCTTTTTTCTATAAATGTATGCGTGATGTGATTGTATTTGTTTCACACATATGAAGATTCTTCTTCGATCTGGATGTGTTATTTAAAATCTTCCGATCTCCCGCTCTCTCTCTCTCTCTCTCTCTCTCTCTTTTGCCCTCTTCCTTTTTCTGTATTTTTTCGTCTAAATCGTATATTCTGGCACCTTTTCAAATCACATTGAATTGTCTTTGACTTCGTTTATTGCTCTCTGTCTATGCAAAGCAACTTATTAACAAATCGATCAATAACTGTCGCGTTGCGCCATCCTTATCGGAACAGTTACATCGAGTTCACAATATGTTTATCATTGGCTAAGATTGCATTACTTTTGGTCATGCAACACACAATTTCAACTGAATTGATCAATTTACACAGAAAACGTAAATAAATAAATGCATATGATTAAAATCGATGGAAATGGAATTTTGGGCCTTATTTTCGTTTATTTTTAAATTGCAATCTTTGGTGTTTAAATCGAAAAAAAAAACTACAAAATTATACGACCAAATATCACAACAATAGCAACAACAACACCGAACACGAAATTAAGTCAAGAGGAAAAACAAAAGAAGAGAAAGAAGCGAAAAAATGACATTAAAGCGTCGTTTTAAGTGGGTCACTGTGTTACTAAATCAAGTAGTTCGTTGAATTTATTTATTTCGACGTTGTGTTTTTTGGATCGCTGTCAAAATATATATATACATGGACAGAATGGAAAAATCGAACAGATAACAAAAAAAAAAACAAAAACAAAAAAGTAATAATAATTCAAGTATGTTGCCACGATGAGAATATGTACAAATTCAATAATGTGTCAACTTTGTCTTGAGTGGGTTTACCGTTTTTCGTTTGAAATGAAAAGCCAAACAAAAATATTTGATAAATGTTTGATAGTAAATTAAATTTCTTAATTGAGTTTTTTTTTTCTCTTTCTTTTTATCTGTCTTTCTTTCATCACAGAAGCATGATCAATATTCCGCATGAAATTCGTCTAATTGCAAAAATTCCACCAAGAAGTGAAAAACGACGCCTCAAGTACAATAGTGCACGTGCATTTGCGCGCGAACACTATATCTATGAATATTTGTTTCCGGTATTTGAGAAATTTCAACGGCTTCATTTAAAGGAACAGTACATTTTCAAGCATTATCCCAGATGTATAGCCGCCAGTTCTGTATACGAGGACGAATATGTATTATTGAACGATTTAAGTTTGCAAGGTTTTAAAAATTCCGATCGTCCCACGGCGTTACACTTTGAGAAATGTGTTGCCGTACTAAAAACCATTGCCAAATTTCATGCCATTTCATTTGCAATGAAAGATCAACAACCCGAACGATTGGCCAAATTGACATCAAAATTGTCGGAAATCACGTTCACCAAACCAATTAACGAAGAGTTGGACATTTTCTTGAAGAGAAATGTTGGATATTCAATGACCACATTGGACCCGGAAAAGGACAAAGTCATCATTAAAAAATTAATGAAATTCCGTGAAAATTATGCCAGCTTCATGGCCGAATGCTGTGCCGAAAAAGAGGATGCCATCGTATTGCACGGAGATTGTTGGATATCGAATATAATGTTTCGCCGAAATCATGTAAGTAAAGTGTTTGTAAACCGTCTCCATTCACAAACGGAATGTGTTGCATACATTCTGGCGTTTTTATCGTTGTTTCAATCTTATAATATGTTATGTTGTTATTTGTTGCAGAGCACATCTGATAAATATGACATAACATTTTTGGATTGGCAAGGAGTTCGTTGCGGCACAGTGGCTATTGATTTGTCATATTTCATATTCTGTTGCACCGATGCCGAAGTGAGAAAACGTTTGCCCGATTTGATGCGCATCTATCACGATCAATTAATTCAACGGATTGATGAGTTTGGTAGCAATGGTCAAGCTCTGTTTCCATACGAAAAACTCGAATGGCATATGAAGAAATACGCTAAATTTGGATTAGGTTTGTTTTTGACTATTCTATTTTATTATCTCTTAAACTGTATGCCATTTGTTTGGGGCGCCCGGGGGGGGGGCGCTCGTCCTCTCTCTCTCTCTCTTTCGTTAACTTTTGTATTTCGCCCCTCCGTTTCTTTATTTTATTTCATTTATTGCGATATGCTAATTCAAAGAATTTCTATGTTTGTTTAGGTATGGCACTGATATCGTTACATGCAACATGTTGCAAGTCAAGTGACTTGGTCGACGTACAAATTGGACTTGATGAAATGGATTCAAATAACGTCGATAAATATACATTGCCATTGTTGGCCAATCCAGCATACAAAAAGCGAATGGCCGATGTTTTGCGTGATTTTCAACGGCTGGACTATTTTTAATTGCATTTGATTGAAGAAAAGAAAACCTTTTGAAGATGTGACAACACACAGAAAACGAATTTAAAATGTAACATGTATATAGGAAGCGTTGACGAAGCGAAACAAAACAAGAGAGAGAAAAAAATGATGACCGTCCGCAACCAAAAAATGAAACATGCAAGCTAACATAAACATATGTGACAAAGAAAAAAAAAACAAATGTACACATTGCGAGCAACAAACTATTCTCATCGAATAGGAATAATTTGACAAATAACAAACATTACAATTGCGATCGCATGTGATATGCTCGAACAAAGCAATTCGACGTAAAAAAAACAACGTGTACAAATCAAAAATGGCTCTTGAGCAAAGAGCGACAAAACAAACCAAATAATTAAAAACAAAACGCAAAAATTGAGTTCAAATTCCGCGCACTTTAACAACCGAATGAAACCTTTTAGATATTGTGATGCAAATGAGTTATGGCTAATGGCGAATACTGATTTGAAAATTCTGAAACGATTGAAAAGTGCAAGGAAAATTCTATGTGTTGTGCGCGAAAAAATAATAATATTCGATTATCGAGCGCCACACATACGACAAATTCATTTTTTTTTACTACAAACACAACACTGTTACAAACATTTACCGAGATGGAAATAACGTAAAGCGATTAAAATCAAGTACCGATACTCGGTCGGCGTTTGGTCAAGTGTTATTAAGTTTCTTTTGTCTTTTAATTCATAAGATCCGCCATTTGTGTGTTCATAATTAACATACTGTTTAAAGATTTTATTTTTAATACATATTAAGTAGACAAGAATGATGATGAATCTCCAATTTTATTGGGATCCATTCCATTTCATTCGAAACGGAAGAAGAGGGAAAAAATACGATGTGATCAATAACATTCACATTAGTTCATAAATTTTGTGTATTGTGATTTCGACAATCTTAATTCAAAATCCGAGCTTATTCCAAAAACAAAACAAAAAAAACGAAATGCTAATTTCTTATACGAAAACAATGGGGGCAAATATGGTGAAGTCAACTTCATACTAAGAAGATCGTTTGAACATTTTGAATCAAAAAAACGTTACAGCACGTTGGATTTTTCTTTTCATAAAATTACGAGCGATATAACAATCCTCGAAGAAACCTTTTATTTTTGGTCACGATTTATGTACGAAGTTAGAAATTTACGATTTAGAATTGATTTATGGCATTTGAAAATGGAACGAATAACATTCATTGTTTGCTTCCTTCATAAGGAAACGTAAAATCTGAAAATTGGATAAAAAATCGAATATGCTTAAGTATAGAAAAAGTAAAAAACATTTCAATTTTTGATCGAAGTGAGTTGAAATATACGAAGAAAAAACAAAACAGAGCACACTAGAATTAGAACAAATTCAATCATTCCGGGAAAAGAGTAATCTCCACAGCCCCACTTTGTAAACATCAAAACACCCAACAATGTAATCAAGTTTGAATTTCAAATAAGCAGTATTCAACAACAAAACACAAGAAAATCGATATGCAAACCATAATTTCTCCAAACGATGAAAAAAAAATTCCATTGAATTTGCACAAGAAATAGGCATATATAAAACGAAAAAATTAGTACAAATGTAAAAATTACAATCCAAACGAAATACGTAAAATTCATTGTAATTTTTATTTATTGATTCATAAGAATTTTTATCTTTTTTTTCTTTCTGATTAAGACATATAATAACATAACGAAAACAAAAAATTCATTCAATGAAAGCAAAGAATTAATAAATTTTGTTTAAAAAAATTCGATTGAATTTGCTTAAGTTGTGTAAAAAACCTGTAGATGTATGAATAATATGTAAATTCTGTTGTTTCATTGTATTTTCCACATTTTGTTCAATGAATTAATAAAAAGTTATTCGAAAAGAATAAAACAAGTTACAACTGAAGAAACCTTAATACATACACAAATCTAATTTAATATCTTCTTTGTTCTTATTTTGTACAAATATATGATAAACTGTTCAAGAAAATCAAAGCAGTTGTGACATTTTCGATATTGTAAAAACGATAACAACGAATTATACAATCTTTCAAATTGTTATATATATATAAATATTAAAAGTATATCTAATCGAGTGAATTGAATGTAAGCATTAACTTAGCATAAGTCTTATTTCTACCCCTATACCTATTGCTTTCTCCTCTCAAATCTAAAACAAATTCTATTGTTTATTATTATTATGTTTTGTTAAATCACGCATCTTTTTATATCTATCAGAGCATTTTTTTTTGTCTATCGAAAATTATATATGGCTTAAACTATCTACAAAATTACAATGTTAATTAGTTTAATTTAAGAATTTATGAAGAAATGCGAAAAACTTGATGATAAAAAGTTAACAAAAACACACACACACACACATACACAGACACAGAGTTAATTTGAATAAATTGCATTATGATGTTGATTTTAAGAAAGGCCATTTTTCATTTGAAAACCGCTCTTATAGTCCGACGACAATATCATCATCAGCAGCAAATCATACCATTTGCAGATGTCACTGATGCTCCGCAAAAGTATACCGGAGCATTGATGATGACGTACATCGACCCCAAACTCTTTATACTAAAGCACACTGGTATTATATAAGGCTCCGGGGAGAATTTACTACCCATAGATATATGTAAGTATGTACAAACACAAAATGAATTATTGTTTTGTCTATTGAGTGTAACACATAACAAGAGCAATGCGTGCTGTGACGCTGGTCTCCAATCGTCAAGCGATCCATTTGATTTTGATGGAGCGATTCACTTGTTTCGCCATACACATGCACATTTTGTGCCCATGTGTTGAATATTGTTCCGGCTTTTTGTTTACTATGTCGGAATTCCGAACGTGAAGAAACACGCTGCTGCGAACAACATTTCCTGTTGATTGTAGTGGTGTGCGTACAATGCTTTTGCGCAACATTTTCGCGGTGGTACGATGTGTTGCCGCTCACTCTGTCTCTTTTTCACGCCAATTCCTCCCTTTCAGTCATTCATTCACTCTCTCTCTCTCTCTCTATCTCTCTCTCTCTCTCTCTCTCTCATACACTCTCACTCGGCGGTTGTTCGCTTCCAAACAATAAATTGTGCGTGAAAAAAATACATGCGGCGAATAAATTTTCTTATTCTTTCCGTCGTGCTGATGCCAAAACTAATCGGTGTACAATGCATCATCATGTGAACGGCTGCCATATTGATGTGTGAAAGTTTTCCAATTGCAAGTAAATAGTAATTTGGATAACATACACAATCACAACACGAAAATAGCGTGGAACGAGGGAATGTACCGAACGCTTGAAAGATTGATTAGGGGACAAAAGGCGTCCATCGCCTTTTCAACATATGAATGCATGCACTTTACATTCTATTTGTGGCGATGAATTATTCATTTGCAATTTTAATTGAGTAAACTAGCAACAATGTTTTGCACAATCTAGCACCAGCAAAACTTGAAACAAACAACTACTTTCAACCATTTTCTTCAAACAAGAAATCAAGAAGCTTTCATTCACAAAATATTCCAGTGTAAATTTGATTAAAACTTAATCCTTGCAATACGCTCCACGTTTTACTTGCTTCATTGCGTAATAAAGCTGATTTGTTAAAACTTCGATTGAAGACATCATTACGTGAGCTTAAATTCTACTTAGTGCTATAATTAACTTGTTCAAAGCATGTTTTGAAATGGTTTGCATAATACGGACATCCGGAGGTGTTTATTGGCTTTACATAAACTTTCTTAACATTTGGAAGTTCACTAAATACAAACCCACTTGGTTGTGGTAAAAAAAGGAATAAATTGGCAGGATATGACTTGCAATTCAATTGATGGTGTCCTAGTTGAAAATTGAAATAAAATCCATTCGATTATATGAAGGATTATCTAGTATGACATGGGTCACATAGCAAAATCCATAATATAATATCCGCTTTTTCTCGATAGGGAGACGTATGTGCAATATTATTATTATTATTTTTTTTGTGTTTTTGCTCACGCTCATTTTTACTTTGCCGTTTGCCTTGTCGCCTTGCGGCCGTAACTCGGCAACAATGCAAAAGAACAAACGCACATGTTCTGACTGCACACTCCATTGCCCCATCTACATTGTAAATAACAATGCCGTGATTTCGCATAAGCCGAATGGTTTCGGTTATGGAAATGAAGCCGAAAAGCGACACGAAACTCTCACTGCTGTTGCTGCTGCCGTTATGATGCTGTTGTTTGCCGAATGTTCGGCTATATATGTGTAACCATTTATACGAAATACGTTCGGTTGGAAATTTTACCAAGTAGCTTGACGTCGTCATCGCTGTTGCTAAACGCTAGTAATATCGGGTATCTTTCACATGCATGACAAGTGTGCACATGATATATCAGGCGCATTTTATCAAAAAAAAACAACCCACCTATCGATCTCTATCGCACTTTTAGGCCCCGCATTTGAACATTTCGTTTTAGGCATACTATAAATGTTCTGCCATAGCTTCATTTTATGTTCGCATTTGCTTTGGCCATATTTTATTTTGCACCCTCCACGAACAGAGGTCGAATTAAGATATAAACAGACTCGTGTATATAAAATAATCTGGCTCTGGTATTTCATTCACGCAACTCCAAACAAGTACTGAATACATTGTTTACAATTCTTACATAGCGGCACAAAGTGAAATAGCAGCAGCCGCCGCTCCATAGCTCTATTCCAACTCGATTACAAACCGACGAATTTCAACGGAATAAGAAAAAAAAGGCTACAACATCGACACCAAAGCTCACCACTATTTTGTCCACATCGACGCCGCGCTGAGACATTCATTCGTCAGCATACCGAGTGACAAGTTTGTTTGTGATTCAGTTTGAAAAGTAAGTCGCATTTTCGTTTTCTTATACATTGTTGTTTTTCTTCTTCGTTGAACATACTTACAACACTTCGACCCCGTTATATTCATCATATCGCAACGAAAAAAATAAGTAAGTTTTTATCGAACATTTTCACATTTGAATCAGTGAGTTGATTTCCGCGAGGAAATATTGAAATTCGAAGATAATCAGAAAATTCAACGAAATCAAAATCGATAGGAACATTTTTTTTCCAACGAAAATTTGATGACCTTTATTTGTACTTTATTCAACTGTTGAAACCAGAAATATCCAATTTAAATGC